TTAAATTACCCACGCAACTTTAAATGTCGGCGAAAATATTTTCGCTCCAGGCCAAGCGTACGTCGCTATGAGTAGACCCCACTCAAGGAAACAGTTAGATATCCCTTTTATTCGATTGTAACTGCCTCAAGATCAATAAAGATGTCATGACCGATCTAGAAGGTTAAATCTCATATCCCAAAATGGCTTAAGAACAAATCATTAATGGTCGACTCGAAAATTTTTCATTTAAACCGTGTCACGTAGTTTTATTTGAAAATCACAATGAATTTTAGGAGGGCGTTTGTTTTTTCATTCGAGTACTCTAAATAGATTACCAGTTATAAAATCAGAAAAACTCTTCCCAATACGATAAGCAGATTCTACTCAAAAAGTCTCAAGAAGGAAAATCTCATTATCTTGAATTGTGATCTAAAATCAGGAAGAATAGTTCGTTGATCAAACATTGAAATTTCGCAAGATTGAGATTTGTGACATGTAAATATATACGCACTTTCTTTTTTTTTTTTTTCCACACACACCACACACACCTAATCCATTATGAGAATTGGTGCAAGTGGAAGGCCTATGGAACTTTTCTCGATAATAGGTTCTACCAATAACTTTTTCGTCAACCTGTACCGTGTTTGCAATAAAAGCTTTGGAACACATGAATATAATAGCGAATCTAGTAAAAACATCTACTTCGAATGATAGTATTGGCCAGTAAAATAGTAAAACGGTCTAATGATGCATAAAAAATCACGGAAAAAATCAGTACATTTATTACGAAAATTCGAGAATTTTATATCGACAATTTATAGACTCACTTACTACAATAACTGGGCTTTGTGGTGTTGTATTATTTTATTGATGATTATTATGCAACGTTAAGTTGATACGACTTATGAAAAGTTAGATGTGACATCACAATATAATCAACAATATTTATATGAGAAAAATTCTCGATTATTAAAAAAAAAAACGCGTATTAATTTACTGCTATTTTTTTTTATCTGAACTAAAACAAAAATAACCATGGAAACTATCGCTTATATTTCTCTTCCTGAGGAAAATGTATTAAATAGATATACAACAAAAGAACTTGTCACTTTTTTAAGTAATTTAAATGCAAAGCTAGATATTGACTTCAATATTTTCCACGTTAAAAAAATCGACGGTGAAGCGTTTTTTTTAACGAAAAGAGAAGATTTTGAAGAGTGTGGGTTTGAATTCGGACCAGCTTTGAAACTCGCAAAATTAGTTAGGGATATAAAAGGTAAAAATCTAGATAAGTCTTTAATTAAACATCAAGGTAAGCCTTTGCGTTGTAATAATTGGTCAACCCGAAACCATTATTTTTCTGACTTTTTTTCGTAACTTTTGATTGACTTATACAGGGAAACGGTCACTTTCACCCTCTGCTGAATTAATTGATTCCAAGAAGGAAGAACAATAGGTAAGTTTTAACAAAGGATGCGCGGAATGATTGTCAAATTCTGAGTCACATCGTTCTTTCCAATTCTAATCATTTTAGGGAATTCGGAAAAGAATTTCGAAAAAATCATAACATTTGCGAACACTGGTATTAAAGTGGAGTCTACTCATAGCGACGTACGCTTGGCCTGGAGCGAAAATATTTTCGCCGACATTTAAAGTTGCGTGGGTAATTTAA